CATATATATTTAATAAATTTAGAAGAATAAAAAGAATGAACATTTTACAACAATCAGGACAAAAAGAAAAAGAGCGATATCCCCAGGGAGAGGGGAGGGAAGCTCTAAGTCTAGGTTGGCTTCTAAGTTGCCTTCAAACATAAATTCTGCCTCAGAATCCTCCAAGGGATATACCTCCTCATGAATGATTGGAGTTGCTCCTGCAATTGCAGGAGAGGCAGATTCTAATTTCTCTGTTGGAGATTGGTTCTGCTGCAGCAGGACTGATTTATCCAGATATATTTTGAGGACAGATTCACTTTCCTGAGCTGCATCTAACTTTGGGACCTCACTTATTGGTTCCCCTGAGCACAGACTGGGGACATTTTCCATCAGCCCCACGTGTGCTACTCCCTCCAGCATGCCAGGAGGAGTGCTGATTTGACCCTTTTTGAGCTGATCTGGGCTGCCTGTGAAAGTCAGAGGAAGACAATCACTATTACTTTCTTCTTTCTTTCGGGTCCCTACAAGTTCAGCTCTGTCACATGTGGGGTTCAGAACCATTGTCTTATCCACAGGACTCACAACCTTTTGGGGCCTCACTGCAAATGCATGCAACCCCTCTACATGCACATGCTTTGTGGAGTCCAGTGATGGCTCCAGATCTCCATCCAGCACCATCCTTGACATCACCGAGGGCTTCTTTCTTGGGAGGTCAGGAGAAGCTGCTCTATGGCGGCCAAAGCCTGAGAAAGAGAAATAGGTAAAGGAGTTTGACAGTGGTCTCTGGATGTTCAGGTGGAGTTCAATTTCCATGAGGCTCTAATGGAGGAAGCTGTACAAGTTCACTTTGGACTGAACACTGATGAGCAGGTAAGGTCTTTCCCAAGAGTGGCTAAGCGCAAGTGCTTTCACCAATAGAACCAACACTGCCTGGCAGAGAGTATCACAAAAAGACATTCTTACAACATGGGAGGGAATAAGGGCTCTCAGGCAATTAGGCTCATCCCTAGAGGCCCAGGCGCCATCCCTACTCACAAGCTCTGAGGTGACCACACAGGGACTTCTTCCTCTGTTTCTTGGTCTCATTCTTCCTGGTCTCCTCCAGGTCATCCAGATGAACGTGCAGATTGAGGACCAGATCTGAGGAGGGCATGTGGAGCATGGCATAGTGGGTCAGTTCTTTCACCGGGTGTCGGTTCTGGGGCTCTCGGAAATCTGCAGGGTAGCAGTCCATCCACATGGTGAAGATGGAACAAAGGCTGCTGTGGGCAGATTGGTGACAAGAAGAGTGAGTGCCTGCCCTCCCTATCCTGGGCCTCCCATAGCCCCTTTCTGCAAGGCTGCTATATGCACACTTGCATGTTGGGAACAGGAGGAGACTCCTGCAAGCAGGCTGATCTTCACCAGCCATGACTAGAAGCTTCTGAAAGATAATTCTCCAATATTCTCACTGTGATAGGTAACAAGAAGGAACTGATTTTGAACACACAACCCTCCCTGTCATCCCTGAGAGTCCACAACCACAACACAACTGTGTCCTCTACCACCCTGCCAATCCCAAGCCTCTGTCCCTAGTGCAAAGCACAAGTGATGTGCAAATGAGAAATCTGCACTTTGAATCAGAAGCCTCAAAGATTCCATTTTGCAAGAAGGGCCTTTTCTTTGTGCCACAGTCCACTTACTTCTTTACTTGTTCATCTTCCTCGAAGTTACGGCCCGGGAATCTGTACCTATGGGAGGACAGGAGGAAGTCACAACTCTTCTT